CAACCGGCTGGCCCGCTGTCGTTGCCTGTATTGGACACTGGTTTCACAAGTCTTCGCGAGGCGTTATTTTTGGTTTATGGAATTCTCATACAAGTATTGGTAATATTCTCGGCGCCATCATTGCCGGTGCATTTGTCGAATATAATTGGGGTTTGAGTTTTATTGTTCCTGGCGTTATCATGGCAGTGGCTGGTTTTCTTGTTTTTCTCTTCTTAACTCCTTGTAAGTAATTCAATAATTTCAACTTTTTATCATAAATTTTAAAAATTTTATATTTGCGTTATAGATCCTGAAGATGTTGGCATTTCCCAGTCATCTATCCATGACCCCGTTGATCCTAGAAACACACAAGACTTTACTGAAAGCGAAGATGTTGGCTCCTCTGGTGTATCATCCATGACTGAATCTCGTGAAAATAACAGTTATCGTCGTCGTATCATTGACGATGTTAGCGAAGAAGAGAGTCCATTGCTTGGCAATGATCGTCCGATAAACGCTTTAAGAGCACAAAAAAACGCTATCTCATTCTGGGATGCGCTTCAAATTCCTGGTGTTGTTGAATTCTCAATCTGCTTATTCTTTGCCAAATTTGTAAGTTATACGTTTCTCTACTGGTTACCACGAATCATCATGTCTTTGAGTAAGTCAAAATTTTCTTTAATTGACATTGATTATTTTTATCTTTTGGCTCTGACACTTTTTTATTTTTCAGCTCATGAATCGTCATCACATTCTGCATATCTGTCAGTGCCTTTTGATTTGGGTGGAATTATTGGCGGCGTTCTTGCTGGCTATGTTGTAGATCGAACCGGCGCAAGTGCAATCACATGCGTTATTATGCTTTCACTTGCTATCCCATCGGTATATTTTCAATTTGTACTTTAATCGTACTTTCTCTGACCAATTTGTGTTTTTTTTTTCATATAGCTTTATATCTATCTCATATTTGGCGCAAGTTCATTCATGATGAATATTTTATTACAAATCATTGCGGGAACTTTTGTGAATGGGCCATACGCACTTATTACAACTGCTGTTTCAGCTGAGCTCGGAACAAAAGTAAAATCAAGTAATGCTTTAGCAACCGTGACAGCAATCATTGACGGTACTGGCTCACTGGGAGCCGCTGTTGGACCCTTCTTTGCCGGCCTGGTTTCTTCTAGTAATGGTTGGAGTAATGTCTTCTTCATGGTAATGATCGCCGACGGTATTGCT